GTGTGTGTGTGTGTGTGTGTGTGTGCGCGCGCGCGCGCGCGTGTATGGGTGCCACAGCTCAGTGCTTCTGGGGGAGGAATGGTGCAGAAGGAAGAGAACGTGGGAAGGTGGCTTCCTACTCTGTGTGGCACTCTCCCTGGATGAGTTTCCCGACAGAGAGACACACACAGAGGCGGAGAGAGAAGAATACGCAGAAATAAATCATAAATAATCCCGCTTTATTGCTGCTTGATTTTCCCTTATCGGAAACCATTCATGTTTGCAGTTGCTGAGGTTATTGAGGGTCGTAAAAAACGGATTCGATCTAAACAAGAAAGATAAAAACAAAAGCAATACTGTAAAACCCGCAAGCATGAAAGGATTCCGGGCCGGGAGATAAATTTCATGGCTGTGCAAAACACACGAACACTGGAAATTTAAAAGAGTGCCTTTAAAATATCAAATTAAGGGTAGGCGGTGGTAGCACGCGTGTTAACCATCTCTCTTATGATAGATGGTGCAAATTAACTTCCAGGAAAGTGCATTAAGGTTGCCTTTGAAGGGCTCTGGTCTGAGCTCCTGAGAACGCTATCCGCCTTTTATTATTGGGACCTACAAGAGGGAAACACATAAACACCAGGGCCCGCAGGTAACGGGAAATGCAAACAAAGCCGGAGAGAACTCTGGTTGGGGCGGAGCTGCTTAGATGGGTGCTGGGCCTGCCCACCGTGAGGAGTTGAGCTGCAATTCTACCACTGTTGTTGGCACCATTGTTTTTAATTCCTCCATGAGGAGAACAAATAAACCATTCCACTAAATCCATCCTAGACCAGGCCCTCAGAACGCCGAATTAAAGCCATTCCTGAGAAAAGATGGCACAAATCTTTCTCCCAGGGCCTTGTTGAGCAGGAAGCAGTGGGGTGATGTATTAAGATTTCTTGACTTCCTGAAGAATCATATTTACATTGTATTAAAATGACTCTTAAATTTGCACAGCATTGTAATGTAGCAAATGTAGTATTAATATCGATCTGAACAGCAGATAATTTATTTAGACAAGAGCCGCTCATTTGTATGCAAGGTGGCCAGAGCCTAGGACTTGCCCCCCCCCCTTACTTTCGGTGCAAATGCAACTCTGCTAGCGAGAGAGGGAGTTATCCTTTGCAAGGGGATAAAGTGCAAAACTTAAAACAAATGGAAGATTTATTGAATGGCTTCCTTGGCGTTTGAATGCATTTTATCTTAATAAGTCTTCTTGATGGAAATGTGTTTTTCAAAAGTGACAAAGAGCCTGGGAAGCAGTGAGCAGGATCCTTTGACTCTGGCAGGCCCAGGCCTGGCTGGCGCTCTCCTAACCATCTCTTTAGCCAAATCCATCAGGAAGCGAGCCAGTGTGGAGAAGCTAGGGCTTTAAAATCTTACCCAGTGAAGTGTCTTAAAGCAGAAGTGTAACTTGGAGCTGGACAGAGGTTTTCTCAGGAAAGGTCTCTCTTCCCTTCTTATGCCCCTAAAGTTTTCTGAATACCTTTGACTTTGCTGATCTTGTGCCGTTTCCCAGAGAGAGGCCTGGGATTGTACTGGTTGCAGGGAACATTGTTGAATTATGCATGTTTCGATTTTAAACTTCCTATCCTAAAGCATTCCTGTGAAAAGTCCCTTAAAAAAGAAAAAAGTTTTCCAAAGTTTTTTGAACCAAGTCTTCAAGGTGCGAGGGGTGCTGAGAAATGGACAATGACATATTTTGTTGGAAAAATCACAGGCAGAATACCTGAAAATGGAAATAGAACTGTCAGTAGGAATTCACCCCCCCTCCTTCTATACAGCACATTTCCACTTTTGACTAAACTTGTTTTGATTGCTAGCCAGAAGGGAATTCATGGGAAAAAGGGAATTCATGGGAAGCCTTCCCTAAGTCATCCAACTTTTAAGCAAACTTTTAATGATGGAAAAGACAGTTTTAGACATATTGTCCAATGTGGCTCTCCCTGGCTAAGTGTTTGAAGCTGGCATGGGGGTCCCCCGTGGTGGTTTTCACATTTGGCCTCCGGATGGCATGTTTAATCCTTAATATTCTGGAGAGCATCCAAAGACTAGGTCATGACCTGAACTTACTTTGAAAAAAATTCTTTAATTCATACACCTAAATATTCCTTCAAATAAATGAGACTGACTCTGAAAAGAGCCATCTAGTTAACATAAATACAATAAATCCATTTTCAGCACAATAATAACTTTGATTTCTAGTTATGGCAGCTGGTTACAGCTATATTTCCTGAACACTAAACTCTTCTGAATGCACAACATGAAATACATTCTCTGCACTACAAAGGCTAAGCCGGGAGGGCCTGAGCAGTAATGATTATTTATTTACATAATTTCTTTTCCATATACTGTAGAAGAAATATTGAAGGTTCCCACATTGACACTACCATATAAAAAGTGAGACTTGGATTTTTGTATACTCTGTCTCCTTTTCTTATCTGGAGTGTAATTCATGGGGTGTAAATATGTACTAAATTACACCCTTTGCTCACCTCTCTTTGCCACCACAACCCACCAATTGATTCCAACATTCATACTGTCTGTCCGCAGATGGGAGAAACCGGCTGCAGGGGTGAGTGATTACATAGTGCATAACGCTGGGCCAGAACTAGGACTCCTGGTGGATAAAGGCCATGGGGATGGGTGGCTGGCACCTGACGGCAGACCCAACTCCAAAGTGTGTAGGACACAACTGTACTTGTCTAGGCTTCACCTCCATGGAGTGAAGGTGGGGATGAGAAAGTGACCTTGTACCCTAGGGACCCTCATGTTTTACTGACCTAAGGAGATGTTATGTGATTATCTAAAAGAAAATCTGTTGGAATATCAGTGGATCTTTTTCATATTGTAGCATGAGGGACAGAAAGTGTATGCAAGGCAAGATGCATGTACATACAAATATGCTTCATGGCCATTCAGCAAGGCTATGCTAGAAAGCAGACCCAGGGGCAGACCTCAGAGTCCCCTGTCTAAGCAGTGAAGCCTCAAGGTGCTCCTGTCATGGTTGTGCTGGTCATAATAATCTCCCTGGCTTCCCAGCTCAGCCCAGTGTGGATGCACTGTGCCAGCTGGATGGAGTAATTAGACATCTGAGAGGAACCCAGTCTGGACCTGAGGTCAAAGGAGACTTGCCTCAGAAGTTCTTGCATTATCACTAGTTTTATTTATATATTTGCTTGAGGCCATACCCTTGTAGATGAAGGTGACAGAGTGCTTTGTTAAGCCTACTTCTTAAACTAGAAGGGTACACAGCATGGAAACAGCAGACATAGATTCTGCTTTGAATAATTTGCTGTTTTCTTAGGCTCACACTTCCCCATTATACAGTGTCCTTTTACAGGTGCTGTTATACATAAATTTCTTCCAAGATCTATATATTAGCAAACTCTGCCTTTGATCTCTAGTCAGCCTCCTGACTGGCTAAGGGTTCCTCTGTGATCGTTCTGCTTTTAAAACATGTTTTATTAATATTAAGAAATAACATAGGAAATAAGAGGGAAGTGTCACTGCCTCTCTGACTCCACATTTTTTCTTTGCTTGGCCCTGGTTAGTGGATATAGGATAATCTGCTGTCTTGAAATATTTTTAGAGGAGCTTGGGTTGGTTTGAAATAAGCACAAAGGTTTTCAGTCACCATCATTGTATAATGGTGTTTGTCCACTTCTCCCTTGGTCCTGCTATAGGAAACCTATCACCCCAAATCCCTCCTTAATTCCTTACTCCCCCAGTTCTGAGACAGAAGCATCAGCTGCCTCTGACCTAGCTTTGTGTCTCATCATTGAAGATGCTTCCCTCTGAAGCCTGGAGTAACTGAGCCACATTCCTCCTGATTATTATACAGCTTACAGTGATGTGACCAATTTTCAATTACTTGATCCAGGGAACAGATAGGAGTGTCCACTCTTCCTGAGGATTTGTTGCGGAGTTCTTGCGTGCATACATAGTTGGTCTCAAATCCTATATTGCTATAGCGTGGGCTTGATCTGCCAGCTTGTAATCCTTACCCCCTGCCACGTGTATTCACTACACAGTCTAGGTTCTCCTGGAGCTTGGAGTCATTTGGGTTTCAGGGGAGACTCCAAGAAGCCTTTAAAGTCTGCCTCTAAGGCTGTGTATTTTTAGGGGTCCCAAGCACCCCAAAATCAGGAGGGGAAGGAGCAACTGCCCTTCTTTTAATGAGCATAACCAAAAGTATGCTCCCCTGCAGGAAAGAACAGGTTGCTATACACGGCAAACATGGATTCACCACCATACATTAGTTAATCCAAAGGTGACAGAGGAAAAACAAAGGGTTGACAAGGTTGTGCCTCTGTGTGCATGTATGTCTCTCCTGTTCCCCTAGGCAGCAAGAGGGCTGGATTTGTTTTTATTTGTGTAGGGGATGGGGAAAGAGAATGGCATAGAAAGGAGTGAAGAGGCATAGAGGAAAGGGTTTCTTTTCTTTTTCTTCCATTTCTTTTTCCTTTTCTCCTCAAAACATCAATGGTTCATATTCCTTTCTGCTCACTCACCTAACAGTGTATCCCCTTCCCTGTCTCCCCCTCCTGTGGCTGCTCTGGCAGATGCTTGTGGCCTGTCGGATGCTGCTCACATCGAAAGCCTGCAGGAGAAATCGCAATGTGCACTGGAGGAATACGTGAGAAGCCAGTACCCCAACCAGCCCAGCCGCTTTGGCAAACTGCTGCTGCGATTGCCCTCTCTTCGCACAGTGTCCTCCTCTGTCATCGAGCAGCTCTTCTTCGTCCGCTTGGTAGGTAAAACCCCCATCGAAACTCTCATTCGAGATATGTTGCTGTCTGGGAGCAGTTTCAACTGGCCTTACATGTCCATCCAATGCTCCTAGACCTTGGGTGTTTCCACCTGCTCTTGCCCCTGACCCCTAGAGACTACAAGGACTCACCTTGACCAAGGACTCAAAAGCCTTTGGGGATGCTAGTATGATGGACCAGGCAGGCCAGGCAGAGGGGAGGAAGGTTGGGGGCAAGAGCAGAGCACTCTGCAGGAATGCAACCTGAGCTGCAAACCGGGAGGAAAAGAGACTCATTTAGGATTTGATCTGTAAGTACATTGGAAAGGAAAGGAAAAGGACCTCGTGTCTGGTGAGAGAATGAAAAATAAAATGGAAGAGAGGACCATGAGAAATTTAATAAAATAGAAGGACTCTAATGGACCTTCCAGGATTTACTGTGGATGGGTGTGGATATATTCTGTACAGAAAACAACTCATATGGAAGCGGACTGAATCCTATGTAGAAACACACACACTGAACATTGTTATTCATTTTGTAAAATACTAGTCTTTATTTTCATTTTTTTGTAAAATTTAAACATCGTATGCGCATAAAGAAAAAAGGAACAAGACTTAGGGGAAAATAACATTTTCCAAATAATTATGAAAAATTGTCCTGTGTCTATGTATCTATATCTGTTTTGTATTTTTTTCTGGTTCCAAACCAGATTTCCTGTGATTCTATACTAATAATTTTTGATATAACCCTTTGCTTCTTATAATGAGTGCGATATATGTTGTCGAGGCTGTTCTTCAAGAATTAAAATTGAAGTGAAAATTTAAACAAAAATAAAAGAATTTAGCAAAACCCATGTGTCTGGTTGCTTGAACTGTATCCTCAGAGCAAGAGATACCCTTGGGTAATTTTTCCTAAGTATTGTTAGGATCTGGGTTTTTGAGGGGCTTTTAAGGTCCAGTGCTAAGTTGACTGCATCTGTTCCTTGGGACAGCCACTGCATCGCTTTTGGAAAGCTGACGCAAAGGCCAGGCTGTGTGGATGGGGTGGGAGGGGAGCCCGGAGCCTCGGTGGCAAACAGAAGTCTTTGTATTTTCACTCTGAGGACAGCCCTGGGGCAGAGCATGGGGCAGGCTGCATTGCCTTTGGGGTACAATTTTCAGGAGCCTGGGCCCCAGTGCTGGCCTCAGTGAGCCAGTGTCAGCATACCTGGACTCGAAGTGTAGTGGGGAACTTGCTGAGCTGGAGAGGGTTTGCAAAGACTGGCGAGGCAAGGTCTTGAGGGCTGGAGGCCGGGGGTGGGGGGCATTATTAAAAGGTTTTGAGTCTGAGTGGACTGGAAAGCCCCTGGCTATCATCTCTAGGTCTTCTAGGCCTGGCCTCTCTCCCTGCCTCTGGGCAAGAACTGAGACACCTGCGCCATGAATTTTGACTTTGTTCCTCTTATGCATCCCTAGAGATCTCCCCACCTATGTGGAGATCTTTGCCTTTCTCTAGGGCTCTGGTCTTGTCGCAGGGCTTCCCAGTAGGACCTGGAGCTCTGGCAGGTGATGGTGGGTGGACAGAAGCCCCTCCCCCACACTTGGAAGTTGGACTCAGAAACTAGAAGTAGGAGTCAGGAAGCTGAGCTGGTTTGGTTCTTCCCGGAAGTGTCATATGGGCCCTCGTGGCCCAGGGAGGACAGATTCCTCTCATTGGGGCATCTAGCTGGGCATGCACTGAGGGGCAAGCCCTGTGGCAGCTTTCAGAGTATGAACGATTTATGGGATCTGAGCTGGAGCTGTGAGAACACACTGCCAAGGAGGCGCTTCCTTAACACACGAATAACGCCAGATCTTTAAAACGAAAGCCCTCTCTCACTCCTCCTCCCAGGCCTGGCCCCAGACAGGCTGCGGTGAGGCAAGAGCTCACTTCCGGGAGTCATCCACACTCCAGGTCCCCAGAAGTCTTCAGCAAGCCCCCACCTGCTTGATATTGTATAGCGATCTCGGTACCGCACAGCATCTGTGGGGCGGGAGGAGGGGCCGCTGTAGGTCCCCTAGAGGACTCCCTAATTGCACAGCTAGGTCATCAAGCCTGTGAGCCCAAATTCACTTTCCTGCAGTCTACACTTCCCAGGAAGAGGGACAGGGAGAGTCACGTTTAACCCAGGGGCTGCCTAGGATGTGTTGGGACCCTTCCTAGACCAGCCCGGAGCTGGGTCAAGGGTGGGCTGCGGCTAGGGCGCTGCGCTAAAGGGGAGGGAGCCGAGCTGCCCCAGAGCTCACCTGTCTTTGCTGCCTTCTGGAAATGAGATGTAAATATATTCATTACAATGTGAGCCCTCTGATGAAAACAGATAAACATTTTTCGTAGTTCAGAAACCTACTTTTCAATTAATTTCAGTATGGAGGTCCAAGCACAAGGTGCCCAGCGTAGAAAAAATGTGGGCCGCGTGGGCCCAAGACGTACAGGGCACTTTCCCTCAGGTTTCCATGGGTGGCGGCGGTGGTTTGGCTTTTGCTGACTGCGGTCCGAGGGTGCTCCAGATGGGAAAATCCCAGACACTTCTGTAAGTCTGGGCCCAGCCTCCTAACCAGGCGACGGTGTGAAGGAAAGAGCAGGCCTCCGTAGAGGCGCCTCCTGCAAACCCAGAGCGGGCAGGGAAAGAGGAGCCCGCGGCCTTGCGTGCCCACGGGCCGGTTGGGGCTCCTAGGCAGCAGCGTTTTGTTTGTTTGTTTGTTTGTTTGCTTGTTTGGGTTGTTGTTGTTGTTTACTTGGCTTTCGGAGAGAAAGTTGTGTATCCTGGGGGTCTAGGTCTTGCTCTCGTTCCTATGAACCACAAGCTCGGGTCTAGGCGCTGCACACCCATTCCAGGCTGCTTCAATCTCCCGACTTTCTATTTTCAGAGCGCGGGGCACAGAAACCACACACCACCACCACCACCACCACCACCCCCCCCACACACACACTGCTCACCCGGAGGAAATGTTGAGGAGCCAAGACCGCGACTCGGAGCCTACTAACAACCGGGAAGCGCTCTCCCCTCCTGGGGGAAGCGTCCCAGGCTTCCTGGCCGGCCTTAGTGGGTGCTATGGAACCAGACCTGCGGCCTCGGGGGTCTCCGGAACAGGCTCCGGTAGTGGCCAGACGGCCTGGACGGCGCACCCTGTGCTTTCCCAGCTCCGGCCACTGCTGGGGTCCTGGGCCTGAGCGGGAGGCGGGGGGCAGCAGGTGGGAGCCTTTTCTGCCTGGGTGGCCGGCCGGAGGCCTTCAGTGTTGAGCCGCTTTCGTGCTAGGCGCCAGGGGGAGCCATCGAAGCGGGGTGTGTGTCTCCAGGTCATTCTGGAGGTCGGCACCAGAGCCTGCCCCCAAAAGTTGGGGAAACGGAGAGCAGCTAACTGGGCGTGGGGAAACACGGAAAACCCAGGATCAGTGGAGATGGAGGCCACCTGTGCAAGGCGACCTCTGTCTCGAAAGGACCCGCGCCCTAGGAAGAATTGGTGCTGTTTTCTAATCTAAACACGTGCGGGGCCCCGGAGAACTCTAGGAACTTTGAAATAGGTTTAAACTACATTAGCTGAAAACATCAGAGAGCTACTTTGGGAAACAGGTTTCTCTGAGAAATCGCTGAGGAAAGCAGGCCAGGCCTTTGCAGCCCGCATGGAGGGCAGAAGGGGAAGCTAGGACCTTTGGCGTACTCTCTTCTTCCTGCACCGGTTCTAACTTGGGACCAGGCTGAGTGAAAGTCCAGAAACAGGGGTCTGGGTCTTTCGCCTCCTTAGTTGACGCTCAAGGTCTCTGGCGGGGTTCCAGAGATTTCACCTGCCCGGCTTTGCTCTTAGGAACGCTGCAGAGCTGCAACGCACACAGAAGCTCTTTAGGGCAGTTCTTTTTAAGTTATTTTTGAAAATGTTTTCTCCTTTTATCTACATATAGGCAGTCCTTATACTTCCTACGCTGTCTGACTCATATTTGGGGAGCTCCCCGGTTCCTCAGAACAAATCACCTGAAAGCCCTGCAAATAGGAGACCACAGAAGCATGGGGAGAAAGGGAGGGAGGGGACAGAGGCGGGAACTAATAAAACTCTTGTTAAAGGGCCTGTTAAGGATTTGTGGCGTCAGTGGGCTTTTTACTTGGGAAGTCAAAGAGTCGTATTCCTAAATGAGTTAAGACCCATTTACCTCTGTCGTGTTCTATTCATCAAGCCCCAAGTTGAGAGTTCCTAACATGAAACTATTTGTTTGCTTACACAACCAGCTGGGTGCAATTTCACGTCTGAGATATCTATCTGAAAGCGCCTCTCATTTATTATCTCTTCTTGTCAGGGGATCCATTTTCCAACTCCCCCTCCCCCTTCGGAGTTTGTTTATTTATAAATTTATTTATCTGTCGTCAGACTTCTTTGCTCGGGAAGACCCTGTCCCCAGGGAGCAGCAGCTAGGGCCTCAGGGTCTGCTGCGACCAAGATCTTGGGCCAGAGAGAAATAGCGGTGTGCTGTGACTGCTGCTGACCCCAACTGGCCGGAGAGGAAGGGGTGGGGTGGGCAGCGGGTGGCTCAGACCTGAAGTTGCTGGGTAGCCTTCCTCCTTGGAAGTTATTCCTGCTAACTCTCCCTGTGGACGCTCCAACCACCTGTGCAAGGGACAGAGGTAGGTGGAGGATAGGGAGTAAAACCTGAAGTCTTTTCTGGAGTCTGGGGCCGGAGATTTGGATTTGAGAGAGACGCTTTCACAAAGCCTCACCTGGTGCCCTGTGGCCAATTTCTCCCCCTGGGTCCCAATGGAAGAGAGGGTAACCAAGATGTGAATAGTAGTGTGATGGGCTGGGGGAGGGGGCAATGCACTCATTGTGTGCGCGAGGAGAAAAGACTGCACGTGGTTTCAATTTTGAAGCACAAAGAAATAACATGCAATGCAGAAAATGGGTTTATGAATGTAATTGAGAGGAAAGAAAACAATTAACACGGCGGAAGGTTGCACATCAGACCCCACCCCTTGCTTTCACTTCTATCCGAATTGGAGAAATCCGGATCGTGCAGAATAGAGTGGATCTAGGCAGTTGGATCCTGCTGACAAGAGACCCCCTGATGGGAATTTCAGTGATAGCTAAATAATGATGTCTATATGTCTTTCGAACTGTTAAGGCCTCTTCTAACCAGCTGAAAGCAAGGGATCAAATCTCCCAAGTCTAGACCATAAAATGCCCCCAATTGTGAAAAAGGAAAAGAGAAGAGGGAGAAGGGGGGTGTCTGTGTGTGTGCGCGCGCGCGCGCGTGCGTGTGCGCGTGCACGTGCACGTGCATGTGTGCAAGAGAGAGAGAGAGAGGAGAGAGAGAGAGAGATCTAGGGGTTTCTTTAAGAAAGACCAAGCTGGTCTCTGCAAGATATCCCATTGTGTTGATTTGGGAAGACATTTGCTGTATATAACGTTTAAGGCTGATAATATCATTGCACCGCCAGATAAATAAAGCTTTGGCCTAATAGTGGGGTCAGCGATCGATCTCTAGGCTCAGAGGAAAAAAGCGAGAGACAGGGTCAGGCAGGATGCTCTGTCTGTGTGCCTGTCAGCCAGCTTGTAGGAGCCCAGTGTGTGAGAGCATCCGTGTGAGAAAGCAAGCAAGAAGCGAGTCCTGAGCTAGCCAAGCAGCTCATTAGCATTCCTAACCCATGGACCTGTGCTGACAACTAACAGAGATATCCGCTCACCACCAGGCCTCCTCTCCTTTTGTCTTCAGATCTGGAGGGAAGAGAAAAAGATTTCTCGGTGGAAGCTGAAGCCTGAACTTCTATGTGATTGTTGGGCATTCAGTGTGTGTGTGTGTGTGTGTGTGTGTGTGTGTGTGTGTGTGTGTGTGTTTGCA